TTATTACTTTCCGTGACAAGTATCTCTCCTCTGAATCAAATTGTTTATATTTTGGTGTTGATATTTCTATTGCTTTTCTAATATTTATATCTAATGACTCTAAGTGTTTATCTATTTCTTCATTTTCTAAATTTTTATCTTTTGGAATAATTAATGATACTTCATTTAAATTTTTTGAAAATTTTTTCCAATCTGTTTTATTAACGCTTTACGCAACTCGGCCGTTCTGATTTTTTTCTATATTTCTTTATTGTTCAACAATTATAAAATACAAATATTATAACGACAAAATATATGAGATCGTTAGACACAATTTACGCAGTTGAAAAAATAGTCAAAACGGCAGGTAATCTTACACTCGCAGACATATTTGTAGTAATACATTCATCATCAATTATCACTCCGCAGAGAACCAGACAGTTCACACCATGACTTTGTTAACGAAGGCGAGAAAAAAAAGGTCCGATACACCTATACAGGTTATCCTGAATGGCGATACGCATTCCTTACAAAAAATCTGCCTAATCAACTATGTAATGTAATTGGGAAGAATGAACAAAAAACAATATACAAAAAAATAAAAACAAACAAAACCTATCTATCACAGATAAACAAAATCAGGCATTCGCAAGCCAAGGGTATTTATTCCCGTTTAGTCTAGATTTATCCATTCTATCACACTACGGTAACGCATTTGATCAACTTAAATAAGAGCCCATCTAGCCAAACCGAGTCGAACGCTTTCGACATATCAATAAGACATGCCGCCACGACCTGTCCCTCCAAATGAGCTCTGTTAATGTCAGACGTTAGCTTTGAAATAGCATGCAATGTCGAATTTTTACTCTTGAAACCAAACTGTTCCGGTGGCACAATATCCAGTTTTTTACAAGCCCGAGTTATTGTTTTATTAATAATGATATCAAAAACCTTACTCCAATTTGACAAAAGACTTATAGGCCTAAAGTTTCCCGGATCTGATAATGTCTTATCTTTTTCCCCAAGGGTTTAATTTTTGCTTTTTTCCATTTAGGAGGAAAGAAACAACTATTGAGCATGTTATTGAATAAGATTAAATAACAATTCAACATACTGAGCGGTAACTTTTTCCTGTTGAAATTTGGGTCGGAGGGCCAAATTCTCATTTGAGAATTCCACCAACGGTCGTTCTTCCGATTGCGCCGGCTTAAACTCGTTCTCAAAGTTACTTAATGATTTCGCAATGATTCTGTTCAAACCCGTATTTTGGTCTACAAAATGTGCCTCATTAACCCGCGCAAAGTGTGCACCCATCAAATCAAGTTTTTTTATAGGGTCGGTGACAATGAACGAATCATTATCAGAGCCCAACTCTCCCGGGTCAATTCGTGCCTTATTCAATAATTCAATATTAGCCCTAGGTACCCTTAAGTTTGGAATTTCGATGGGCTTTTTAGGTCTAAAAATTGCATTTAACCTCTCGAAAATACGCTCATTATTATTGCAATCAATCTTTTCCATTCTTTTTGACCAATATTTGTTAACTGACGAATTAAATAGCCCTTTTAATTTAAGTCTTGCTTTTTCGAGTAAATATTTACTTAATGCTAATTCTTGCCCGAACCGTTCATTATAAAATTCAATTTCTGCATTTGATAAATTACGTTTCGCTGGTATATCTATATTTAAGTTTGAATTTTTTGTGTAGTATTTTTGCCAATCTGTTTTATTTAAATTTAACGGATAGTCATTGGATTCAAGTCCTTCCGGTATTGTTTCATTATTTGGCAGAACGACTCTCAATAGTAAGTCATCATGATCGCTGTCATATGGAATAGTTGGAATACGATTGCAATTTAAATTTTACAGGTTCACTCGAACATCATGTAAACATATGTCCAAATAAGAGTTAGTGCTCAGAAAAGTCGCCTGCGTTGGTCCGGTTACACGTGAAAAAGAATAACGTTGGATTAATACCGTTTTCCGATTGGTTCAACGGCAAGGAGCGCTGTAGGCAGTGTCTGTTGGATCAACTTACTTGTAACAATAGATTGACAGTAGGTTCAACAGTAAAAGTCTGTTGAATCAATGCCGAAATCGTGACAAGGCCCACTGACGTTGAACCAATCGGAAAACGGTATTAATCCAACGTTTCTCTTTTTCCCGTGTAGTATTGTTTTGTATTGGAAATCGAAACGATTCATCCAGTTAGACAAATATTTTCCGCGATCATTAAGTTGCGAGTCACCCCATTTGGGGTGATCACCAACGAGTATGTAAAAATTATCATTATACGATCCAATTCTAAGTCTTGAAAAATATTTGACAAGTCATTCGCAAAATCATTTCTGGCATTACCTGCTGCGTACGCGCAAATAATGAAAAAGTTTCTGCCTTCCGATAATTTTATCTTTATAACCGTAGTTTTGATAATTTTTATTTTCGATTGGGAGGGAATATTAACTCTTCGGCCGTTTTGATCAGTGATATTAGAATAAATGCTTGACGTGTTTCACTGTACCTAATAATATTACGAATTTGTGAATATTTTTATTATTTTCTAGGCAAATAAACATTTTAGATGTTTATTTAATTTTAAATGATTTATTTATAATTTAATTTAAACATTAGAAAATTATAAAAAAACTAATTACATACTAATTTTTTTTATTTATTATCCTCAAAAATTTTATAAATAAAATAATTTTAATAAATTAATAATTATTGATATAATATAATATAATATTATTAATATTATTATCATATACTCAAAGAGAAAAATAATAATCTACCATGTAAAATTTATCTGAAAATAATAATAATCGTTTAATAATTTTTTTTTAAAACTAAAAACACTTTTTTATTCAAGGTAATATTATTTTTAAAAAGCGCGCTTTTTTGCCTTGGGCCAATCAGGTGATTTCAACTAAATGTAGGTTATGTTCGTTTCTAATTCATGACAGCTGCAAACATTTACAACAAATAATGCTTTGCAAATGTATATTTATTGTTATTAAGTAAGTTATGCAAAAAATATATATGTGGAACAATGATTTACGGTGATTTTCATAAAATGAATATTGATTTAGATGCTTTGAAAAGCTAAGTTCATTTTTTCTTACATTCAATTTTTTCGACCACCGAGATACATTTTCATGTGTTTTGTATGCACTGTCTTTATAAGAAAGGAATATTAATATTATTAATCTATTAAATAATTAATTTTTATAAACAAGTTGTAATTTTTTTACACCAAGCAAGCGAAATGTCAATACACAAAATTCTAGCACAACTGTCCAGTTACTAGATTTATTGTAGCGCCACCGCCATGACAAGGATATAGGAATATAATTTCGAAGAGCACTGGATAGTGCCATTAAAAAAACTGGATAGCTTTGAGTCGTGGAAATATCAAGTTTAACTTGAATTATATCCAAGAGTGTTGGTCAGCCACTCTATTGTAATTTGCAAGTTTAGCTAGAATCATCCGATACGAGAAAAACTGTCCAGTAACTTGACGAATTCTAGTGGTGCCATGACAAATTTCTTCTAGGGAATATTATGAATAATAAAATTATTAAATGAAATATGTATCTAAACATTCAAATTAAAAAAACCTTCATATTCGATGTGTTTTTTCAGTTTAAACTCAAAATTAAAGTGTATTTTTTTTATTTGTCCTGTAAATTATAATTTTCAGTCGAAGAGGAAATTGCCTATCAAAAGACAATAAGTAAAAACAATATAACTTTAAAGTTAATGTCTAAGACATTAACTCTAGAGAGGCTTGGGTCATGTCTAGACATCAAAGAGTAATTTCTAAATGAAAAGAAACTTTTGGACAGGAACCATTCATGTCCGGACGCTACTCAGTTATTTCTTTTTTTCTCAGTGCACAGTGGCCGATTTCCCGAAAAACCTGGCCAAAAATCGAAAAATGATACGGTTTCAATCAAAATTGGTATACCCATGTTTTTTGGGCTTCTGAATTCAAATTTTACATTGGTTGTGTCAAATTCAAAATGGCGGATCCAAAATGGCCGTTTAGATTTTAAAAAACTTTGCTAAAAATTAAAAAATGGTACGATTTTAACCAAACTTAGTATACTTACGTTTACTGGGTTTCTGAAATCAAATTTTACATTTGTTTTATCAAATTCAATATGGCGGATCCAAAATATTTGCTGGTATTATAAAATTGCGTATATGTGTTAGAGTTTATTTTTTTTAAATTACAGAATTTTAGTTTAAAGCGAATGCGAATGAAGAAAAAGTCAGTCTTTCACGTTCAGTTGCACCGCCGGCCGGTGCAACGCGCTGTCGGTAAACCGCGCTGGGTGAAATAAAAAGTGATACCAAAACTGCAGGGGCAGCTTGGGGCAGCTGATTTCAATTAAAATGAATCAAAAATATATTCTAGTTTATGATAATACCAGGTAGGGCGCGGATATCGGTGGATTTCACAACTATTTTCATGATTTACGTTGATAAAACAATACAAAAATCGTAGCCATGAATAGCGATGTTTAATGTCATTTTTTAAAAACTGTACGTTTTAAATGTGATGATAAATACATTCAACCTATTTCATACACCTTTGTTAATAATTCCCAAAAAAAGATATTCAAAAATCTGCTGTATATTAGTATATTTTCACTATTTTAACTGTGACGAAAATTTATAGTTATGAAACGTTCTGAGTAAATCTCTGGCAAAGATCACTTTTACTTGTTCACATAATAAATTGGTGATAAAAAAAGTGTAATTTTTTTCGCAAAATTATGCAGTGAACCCTCCTTTATAATATTCAATAATAAAAAGTATAAATTTCTAAAAAAAATTTTTTGACTTTTGGCCAGGTTTTTCGGGAAATCGGCCACTGTGCAGTGTAGATTATCCGAATTTTCTTGTTTTTGTTATTCTCATTAATATATGCAACATTAGTTACTGATACCCAAAAGAAAATTAGGGGATACTTCAGGGATTCTTATTTAATATTTAAATAATTTTCTTTTTTTTAGGTGTATTGACTGACAAAAATGGTATGAGGGAAAACTCTGGCAACACAACCGAGGTGGTATGTATGCAAATTAGTATTTAACGAAATTTCCCAGTCAGAAATTATAAGTTCTTGGATAGGCTTGATATTTTTGTAAATTGTTTTCCTAGACGGAGAAAACTCGAGTGTTAAATTTTCAATGTTGAAAATTTATTTAGTTAATCTGATTTTCTTAATAATATAATTTATACTCTATTATATTTTTTTGCTTTGGGGTCATTCAAGCATTACGTAAGCATCTAAGGGGGAGGGAGAGGTTCCTCAGTTGCTTATGCACCATATAAAAATTCTATTTTTTCCATTATAATATGCTTATTTGGGGGAGGGGGGTCCAAAACCCTTGAAAATATGCTTACCTAATATACTTGAATGGCCCCTTTGTAAGTGGTACACTTTTTCCCCCTCTAGCAGCCACACGAATTTATTTGGAGGGCTGAAATTTGGTACACATTCGTATTTTCGCGTGTAGATTACAGGAAAAGTATAACGAACATGATTCGGATCAATTTACATAGCGTTGTCGAGGAAAAATAAAAATTTTTTGATTTTAGTATACAAATGTACTTTGACATGAAAATTACAGGAAACATATAGCGAGCACGATTCGAGTTGATGATCATAGTATTTTCAAGGGAAACTGATATTTTTAGAAAAAATCATGGATTTTTCCAATAAAAAAAGAAGAAAATTTTATTTAAAGGGATTCAAATTTATACATTACACGGAGAGAAATAATTGGTTAGGCTATGCTAAGTATTGGATAGGGTAGCAATTTTTGTTGGGCTCTATAGCCTGATCAAATTAGTTTGCTGCTGCAACTATTTCTGTTGCATACTCTCAAGTTGGATACTGCAACAAATTTCGATAGCTAGTATATACATTCCGTTGAATGCCTCATCCATCTCTCTTGCGCACAGTTACCTTTAATTTTGTTAGTACAACTATTTTGATTGGTGGGATATCTATCCCTTTTTTAATAATATTTAGAAAAAAATAGATTTAATTAAATAAAAATATCTTTCATACACGATACGATAATAAATGTTTTTTTACTATAAAAACAAACATTTACTTGACCGGATATGAAATTTTTTTATTTGATTCCATTTATATAGTCACTTATATGGCAAATAATAATTCATTTATAGACATCAGTGAAATTATAATAAATGAAAATTTATTTTCATTTCTCTTTTATACAGTATTCAAACACATAAAATGTGCAAGTAATTATTTATAAAAACTTATGTTATACGAGAACATTAACAATCTTAAATTAGATAAAATAAAAATGAATTTCAGATCTTTTACGCAGCGTATCTGTAGGCAATAAAACATTTTTCGTTTGACATTGTATGATAAATAACAGGGCGTGGCGAGAGTAAATTTTCTATTCGAATACATTTTGCTTTTCTCGTTGTTGTGACCTCATAAGCGTGTAAATTTTTTTCATACCCTACAGTATACCATTCATGATATACGAAACAAACTTTACCATTTTCATTGCAAAAAATTCTGTCTATTTCACCAAAAACTGGTAAATTACAAAAATCGTCGAAGTCGATTGCAAGATTCATGCCAATTTTATAGCGCGTACCTTTAAAATCTACCCATGGGACGTCGAGACAAGCTGACATGAAATCAGGAGGCAATTGAAGCTCTGTTGTTTCACAAGAATCTTGTACTTTTGATACATCTTCAATAATAGAAGCTGGACCAAACTCAATACGCGGTGAAGAAAAACCTTCGTTACCTTCGCCTGTAAAAAAATCAAGATTTCTTAATTATGTATACAAAATACTTAATATTGAAAAAGTTTTACAAATAAATTTTCACTTTGAACTTTAAAAATAAATTATAAAAATAACTAAAATAACTACAATTGAAAAATAACTAAAACTTACTGCTGTTTCTGTCGGAAAAACTGCAAGTATTTCTTCCCTCAGCTCCAGGAATCTTGCGTATTTTTACGTGTATATTATAGGAAAAATTTAACAAACATGATAGGAAGTTGTTTTAATTGAGTTTTTTTCGAAAAATATAATTTTTTTAAAAAGTGGACTTTTTCCTTAAATCGAGATACGGAACCCTAGGTTTCAATGCGAGTGTAACTCGCACTTATACGATTATTTTCATCCACTAGAAGTCAAATACTTAGTGTTTTGAAGTTGTTACACCCCTGGACAAAAATTCAACCCCTGCTTTAAGGCAAAAAATTCCATTCAGAAGCACATAGTCGCATTCATTTTCCCGTATTGATGCAGGCCTGTGTTATCATTGCAAGAAATTTTTTCCATTCTTTTTGTCCAATATTTATTTATTGACAAATTAAGTAAACCTTTTAATTAAAGTCTTGCTTCTTCAAGTAATTTTTTACTTACACTGTTAAAAATGTTTGTAGTTTTAATATACATAAAGTACTTAAATTTAAGAAACTGGTATATTAGAGTGTAATTCATATACAAAGTATATTAAATTTTGTCATTGAAAAAAATTCAAATAAAAAAATTGCATTTTACTCAATTTATACATGTTCTTGTGTACAAAATAAGGTTTTTATTAATAAAGCAAAGTAATTTCTTTCATGTAAATACAAGTTTAAATCAATTTACATTGTAAAAATGCATATAATTTGACATTTATAGTACTTAACCTAAATGTCACATATAAGTATTAAAATTCTTGTATTTAGAATGTTTTTTTTGAAAAATTTTCCCCTTATAAAACATTATTTGGACATAAACAACACAATAGTTAAAGAATTACGCACTGTTGTTTCAATTTCAAATAAATTTTCAATATCAAGGAAATAATGACCGTTTGGTGAAATAGGCATCTACAGCCGCCATGTTGTCACTTTAAATTTAATATACATGTATCTTAGATTTCAATACCTGTAGTGCATATTCGCTTCATACGCATGTATATTAAATCTAATACAGATTTTTCTAACAGTGTAGTTCTAATTCTTGCTTGAACTGTCGACTATTTTTTTGAACCGATGTACGCATGAGAGAAGGTAGCTTTTAATTTTTTGACACTTAATTATATAGTCATTGGTCATTGAAACGTTAAAAAAAAAATTTATAACCTCAAAAATTTACTTGGAAGTCAGAAGTTTCAATAAAAATTCTCTATTATCTATTACTGCACAAGATTGCCAGTCGTATTTCTTAAAAAAAACATTTTTGTCCTACCTGCACGGAAAGTGTGTTATTTCGTGCACTTGAGGCGGTCGCAAAGTAAGTGATTCCCGCCCAGAGATGGGGTGAGCGGGCGCAAAGTACATTCGCGCCCGCTGACGTCATAGATGCGGGCGCAAAGTACATTCGCGCCCGCTGACGTCATAGAAGCGGGCGCAAAATACATTCGCGCCCGCACCATTAAAAAATGTATTGTTTTCATTTTTTGTGACATAATAAACATACGTAATATACGTAAACAACTACATGTAATTTACCTTAAGTATATTATCTCCCCAACCCTGATGGAACATTAAAACAAGCGGACTTGCATGCACTCAATAATACACTTTCCATGCAGACAGGACAAAAAATGTTGTTCGCAGCACGGGCGCAAAAGGTGATAGTGTCTCAGGCGAGATTATGAAGAAACCTCGGCGACCCTACGCACCCTCGGCTTCGCCTCGGGCGCTTCGGGTCCCCTTGGTTTCTCTAATCTCGCCTTCGCCACAATCACCTATTTTGCGCCCTTGATACGAAAATAACTATTTTCTTAGTAGATTTTGAGTCAACTTATTCGAACCTATTATAGAAATTAATCAAAAATATTCGGTTTCGAAAAAATAAGATTATAATTGCCATACTTTTTCTCTCCTCTTTTAAAACAAATTGAAAATAATTTTTTTGATAACTAAAGGTGCTTTGAGGTTCCTAATTACGAATCTGATGTTAGTTTTTTAAAGTTCAAAATGGCGAATTCAATATGGCGGATGACATATAAAAATTGATCGAATTGGCTTGAAACTCGTTACTCGGGGTTTTTTGGAATCGCTGATTACGAATTTGCAGTCAGATTTTTGAAATTTAAAATGGCGGATCCAATATTTTCAGATAAAATACATAATGGATGCAAATTATAAAAACTGGAAGTGGGAATGGAAATTTTTAAAAATGGAAGTGTGAATGAGAATTAGAAAAAATGGAAGTGGAAGTCGTAATGAAAATAAAAAAGTAAAAATGGGAATGAAAATCAGAAAAAGTGAAAGTTTAAATGAGAATTAGAAAAAGTGGAAGTGGTAATGAAAATAAAAAAAATGTGAATGAGAATTAGATAAAGTAAAAGTGGAACTGGTAATAAAAATAAAAAAGTGGAAATGGGAATGAAAATTAGAAAAAGTGGTCAATATTATCGTAGAAATTGAACAAAAGTGACCTTGACACGAAACAAACATTTTGATAATTCCTGGTTTTCCACCTTTATTATGGGGGGAAACTCGTAAAAATAATTATTTTACAATTTTTTTTTCTTGCTTTAAAAACTAGGGGAGACCGAGGAGGAAAGTAACAAAAATCAGTTTTTTTGCTAGCATTAAAAATATTTGTCGGATAAATTTGTCCAATATATTAAATGAAAGCTTGGACATTCACCTTTTAAATAAAATTTGAATTAAACATTTATAATAAATTGACAGTTTACAGTATAACTTTTACGCAAGCTCTTCATCTGTTACTTTCCTCCTGACCCCCGAGGAGGAAAGTAACAAGCTCCTAGGAGGAAAGTAACAGTATAAAATTATGTAAAATTCTTTAGACTAATGACTATTATTAATTAGAAATATTTTTATTAGGAACACATAAAAGTTTAAGTACACTTTATACTTATTTGGCACATATTTGGGACATATTTAGCACATATTTCGAACATTTTATGAATTTAGCTCATTTTTTTTCTTAAAGATATTTTATGCTTACCTAGATCACAGGTTTTTCTTAAATAAATCTCTGTTATTCGTAAAATTAAATACGATTTGCTTCAATCATTAGTTAAAACATGGA